TTGTACCCCAGTGCCCCGGCGTCCGGGCCCCACGGCGCCCCATTGTACCCCAGGGCCCCGGCGTCCGGGCCCCACGGCGCCCCATTGTACCCCAGTGCCCCGGCGTCCGGGCCCCACGGCGCCCCATTGTACCCCAGTGCCCCGGCGTCCGGGCCCCATGGTACCCCATTGTACCCCAGTGCCCCAGTGCCCCGGCGTCCGGGCCCCATGGCACCCCATTGTACCCCAGGGTCCCGGCGTCCGGGCCCCACGGCGCCCCACTGTGCCGCCCCGCCGCGGGGCCCCAAAATCTGGGCCCCATTGTGCCCCCCATGTCCTGAGCCGGGGCCCAGGTGTCCGGGCCCCATTGAGCCGAAGCGCCCGGTTGGGGTGCAGGGTGTCCCCCCCAGGCTCTGGGGCGCCCCTCACCCTGTAGGGGCTGTGGGGGATGTTGACGCCCCCCCAGGAGACCAGGGCCGTGTGTTTGAGGGGCTTCTTGGGCACGTAGGAGCAGCTGTAGGTGCCGTTGCCGTTGTCCTTGACCGCCACGTCCACGGGGTGGCCCTCGGCGTCCTGGGGGACAGACGGGCTGCACCGTGCGCCCCCAAACCGGCCCATGCCGCCCCCCCGGTCCCTCCCGCGCTCACCTGCACCTGCACCTTGAGGGGCCCCTTGCCCCCGTTCCTGGCGTCCACCGTGAACTCGGCCGCTTTGTTCACGGCCACCCCGGTGCTCTCGAGCCCGGGGCCCTGCGCCTTGACCTGCGCCGGGGGTGGGGACTGTGAGCGCGAGGGGCCCCGGCGTCCGGGAGCCGCGAGGGGGCCCCGGCGTCCGGCCCCACACAGGGCCCCAGTGTCCAGCCCCACACGGGTCCCCGGCGTCCGGGAGCCACAAGGGGCCCCGGCGTCCGGCCCCACACGGGTCCCCAAGGTCCGTGAGCCGCGAGGGGCCCCGGCATCCGGCCCCACACGGGTCCCCGGGGTCCGGCCCCACACGGGTCCCCGGCGTCCAGCCCCACACGGGTCCCCGGGGTCCCCCCGCCGCGGGTCCCGGGGGGCGCGCGCGGGGCGCGGGCTCACCTTGTCGGGGAAGCAGTCGCGCGGCGCGGGGCGCACGTCGGCCATGAAGGGGCTGCGCGCGATGTCCTCGCCGTCGCACAGCACGTGCACCGCGTAGGCGCCCGGCTCCTGCGGCCAGTAGCGCACGTCGCACGAGCCGTCGCCCTTGTCGTCGCACTCGATCTTGGCCTGCGACGGGCCCTC